ACATAGAATTAATTAATATATTTAAAAATATATCATCATCTACCAAATTAAAATGCTAATTAACAATCATTATAACTCAATTAAAATATCGACCAAATTATTTAAAATTTTAAAACACTCATTTTCAATCAAATTGTTCGAAATATATCACCAAAATATATATTGAATTACATATAAAAATCTAAATGTTCAAATGTAATACTCATAAATAAATACTTCATATTCAAAATTATACTATAAAAATTGGAGACTCAAATACAAATCAAACGTATATTTTTTGTGACAATATATATCAATATTAAAATCCAATTTGATACATTATTACTTATTGTTCATTTTCTTCAAAAAATATCATTTTATTTTACCCTATACATAATGAATTTTCAATCAGTTTAAATAATAAGTAAATGTCAACAATAAATTTTTTATTTGTGAGAGAGCGAGATAAATGTATAAAACAAATCAATTATTTGATCATACTTTTGTGCACAAGGCACTTAGTATTTAAAATTTAATAATATTTCAGCCATGAATTAATTTTAAAGCCAAAGTTTCCAGAGATTCTTCTACAAAAAAAAAAAAAAAATATGAAATATTTACTCTTAACACCAGATTCGAAACCACGCGACGGCACCAAATATAAAATTTGGTTTTAAAGGGATTTATGGTTAAAAATTACATTAAGGTACCAAAAATAACATTTAGGATAATGAATTTATCAAGGTACATCAATTAATAATGCTTAAATTAATTAATGTTAAAATTAAAATTATGGTACAAAAAGTTTTTAAAAAAATAATACTGATTTAATTAAATTTAACCCTACTAAAATAAATTGAAATAAAATTAGAAGATCTTAAGATCCCTTGATCAAACTAAAGTGCACCACCACACGTGGTGGTCAGTCTTAAAGATAGTTTAGTAGTTAGTACATTGTCTCAAAAATTATCTCTGGAAAAGAACAATTAAGATTTTGAATAAGGAAGCTAGAATGAAAATCAAAACAATAATATATTCAACAAAGGAGAAACGACAAATATATAAATTAATTTACACAATCTTTTATTTCGTGAAAAACATGTTGAAGGTTCAAATGGTGATCCAAAATAAAAAAATACATGGACGTTATGAAAAATACAATTAGAATAATATCTGTAAAACAGATATTTCATTTAAAGGGAAGATTAAAGGATGTAGTAAGATTGCCATTCCGGCAAATTTTTCATTCCAACAAAAAACGTGCTTTCAACACACACACCGGAGGCCTAAGCCCCGGTCACCACTTTTCCAGCTAACAGACCCACATCTGCTTCTCAAATTACTTGTCGAGACGCTACAACAATCGTTGCCATCTTCACTCATAAACGTAAAGTACAGGCCTGTCCTCTCCCACTTGAAATTCTGTAGGTGGCGCTCTCTAAAACTCGTCGTCCAGTCTCTTCTCGGCTGGGATTCAGCACCTTCAGCAGATTTTATCTCTACCATGTATTTCGTGGCAAGTGGTGAAAGATCATTAAGTTCAAAGTTCATTAAGTTGAAGAATGACACTACACAAACAAAATGTTGTAAAATGCATTGAAAAAAAATGCACTGTTACTGGTGTAACATCTCCCTTCCTTTAAAGGAAAAAAAAATGAAATAAAAAAAAAATATGGATGTGCCCATTGTGAAAAGACCTTCTGAGGAAAGTTAAAAAAAATTAATAAACAAACAAACATATAACAAATTATTTCCGAATAACATATACATAATTACCAACATTATTTGTCGTTTCCTTAAGAAGAAAATTTATCCCACTCTCTCTCAGAAAACACAAACAGATTCTCTACAAGCGTAGAGTAAGGAATTATCAAACTATATACAATTCAAACTTACATACCTTAACACTACTGTCTTTAGTATAAATGATAAGTTTGAATACATAAATATATACTACATATGTTTATAACCAGAGTTTGCATATTTTTTTTAAACATCTATGTAGCTACATCTTTTTTATAATCCTACTCTGGTACTAAATTTTACAAAAAAAAACAAATTTTATTTTCTCAATTCTCTTTCAAATCATTTTATTCTTATGTTACTTTATTTTATTTNTAATGTAATTAGAAATTAATGAAAATTCGTCAAAAACTTCAGTATCTTTATTACAGTCAATATATTGCTTTTCAATTAATACATCCAGAGATTTTTGAATGTCTTCCCATGTGGGGACCTTTTTTAAATCTGCCCAATAAAATATTTCCATTTCTTTGGTAAGAAAGCAAGTCCACTGCTCCAGATATTCACGGCTTGTTTTATAAAATTCTGTAGCCGTCCTTTTCACAAATTCTTCATCGATATCAGTACCACTATCTTTCAATTTTAACATTAATTGACGGATCATAAATGTAAGAAACTGATTGGTCTGTTTCTGAGTTAAATTGTCTTTTAATTGATTGATTTCTTTTGCAGCTTCAATTGCCGATTCAGTCTGAACTTCAAGTTTTAAGACAGTTTGATAAAAACTTGCTGACTGAGCATGTAAAGAATAAAACCACTATTAGGATGTGGGATCTTCAAAAAGTTTTTTAGTAACAGGGGACATTTTTCAATACTCAAAAAGTAGCTTTTTTACGGCTGATATATTTTTAAAACCCTCTCCAAAGCAGGCATAAGAGCAAGCCATCTGGTTTTGCTATAGCCGAGCATTTTTTGATATTCAGTTTCGGCACAAAACTCCTTTAGAGCTTCAACTCGAATCGTATAAATATAAAAAAATATAATATATATATATTCACAATAACGCTTTCGTAATCTACGGGTAGCCCATCTGCAGCAGATTTTATTGCATTGTGAATTACATGGGCTCCACATTCAATACCTATTAATTCTTTTTTCAGAGATGATTGTAATTTCGTTAATACATTGTTAGTTCCTCTCCTAACTGCACCTCCAAAATTGACGTTGTGATTGTCCTCACAAATGCTACGACTTTTGCTGTCAAATTATTATTTGTCAACACTTGGTTTAAATAATTGACAATCATGTCAAAAGTTTCACCAGCCGGGACTCGTAATTGTAAAAAGGGACAGTCCCGTTAGGTATGAGCCAGTAGCAAAAAATCTTAATGTACATAAAACCTATGAATGTAATAAACAGTTATGAATAGTAGTTTTATTTAAATATTCCACGTTACAAGTTAAATAGTACCTAAAAGTCATTTAGTTTTTAAGTTAATCTTTCTTACTGGAAATAATGTAAACAATATCTACAAGAAATAAAAATTTCACTATTTGAAATGAAAAAAATTTTTATTTCTTAAAAAGAATTAAGAAAAAAGTTTCACATAAGCATGTGAGGTTGTGAAAACTTATTATTATTATTATATTTTTTTCTTGAAATTTAAGTTCGAAAACACTTTGTAATCATGCCTTTTCCATATTGATAAAAAAAGGAAATACTTCGAAGTTAAATTTCTCTACCTTGTTTCAGAAATGAAAGAAACTAAAGGTAACTTTTTATTTACTACTTTTAAAGCTAATGAAAATTACATCGTCTTAGTTTTTTTTTTTTTAAATATGAAATAAAAAGCATAATTTAACACATTAAATTCCTATCTGCAATATATTTTTAAGTTTTTAAAAAGTAATTAAAAAATGACACACTTGTTTTCAGTGAAGTAAAAGATTCGCTAAGAAAATTGAAACAATTTCTGGTTATTAATCATCAATATTTATTATTTACAAAATAATCTAAAAAATAAAAAATTCTACAAAATTTTTAGTCGGAAAAAAATTAACATTTACAATTTTACCTATTAAGTTCATCAAACATACTATAACAACCCCAAAATTATCTATTTATTCGCATATAGCAAAGAAAAATTCAATTCAATTAATTTTTTTTAACAAACAGAAGATAATTTATTTTAAATAGCATGAGCATATTTAAGTTGAACTTCCTTGTGTTTCTACTGAAATCACGTTTCCTCGCCTTGCTTCTTTTTCTAAATTCATCTCTTAGGGTGGAATTCAGCTGCAACATCGAATGACTTAAGACGGGTAAAATCGTAACTTTCGCAATGCATGATGGGAGATCTCGTAAGTTTCAATTCAACTGAAACACTTACGCCGATAATGCGAAATCTGTCTTAAGATGGGTAGTTCGCCTGACTTAAGTCGCTTTAATCGCGTTTGTTTTGATTTCATAACCAACGGAAATGTCTCAGCTTATATGGTATTATTTGAATCGCCGTCAAAGACGCCGACGAAGAGATAATTTGTTCGTTGATCGAACTTTATTTTACCGTATAAATCCCTTTGATTTCACGGATGAAAGATACGTGAAATCTTTTAGATTAAGTAAGCAAGCCACAAGAGCTTTGATAAGCCTACTCTTTGAACAATTGGATCGAAAAACTAATGGCTATTCTGTAGACATTCAGGTAAATAATAAACTATCTCTTTTTCTTAATATCAACTAATGCGGGACATAATTTTATTTTGATCTGTACCTATTTTTTTTATAATTTTAATATGTATTTGACGCTTGTTAATGTGTGTTGCCCTTTAACTTTATAGTAAATATTTTTAAATGTTATTTTATCCTAAATATAACAAAATAATGTAAGTAACGATGGAAGAAAAAAAAAACCAAAGTTGTTTATTCGTTAACGGAAGTACCTGTACTATTAGCGATAGTGTTGACTGATGTTGCGACTCTGTAATTGCTTCTTAATCAATTATTAGTATGGGAATCTAATGTAGGTATTGATGTTATAAAGTAGTTCCTTTAAAGTCTACTAAAATGGATGCATATTAAAAATTTAAAATTGCTTATTGCACTATTTTATGCTTATTATTCTAAGAGTGTTATAAATATAAACTAAATACTTGTTTAGTGACATTTTTTTTATCATTGAACAATCAGTAACTGAAATAATATGCTATTTTTTTCCACTTTCTTATGTATATAGCAATTAACATTTGCAATAAGAATGATCAATAAGGTCTATACAATAAGAATATGTCGATTTTATATTTTGCTAATTTAAAGTTTTTGATTCAAATAGAAAACTTTTTTACCAACTAACCTTTTAATCTATGGGTACACTCCAATATTCATACTTGCGCAAACTGTCCCAAATTAAAAACTGATTACACCAGTACCTTGCACCTGTTGTTCCTTTGCTCAAATTGGTGTCACAAGTTATACACAAAGTGCAACAGGTTTCTAGTCTGTTCGATCAGTTTGCCTGACATCATTACCCATATTTGTGTACAAGCTTCGAGTTTACATTTTACAAGATCCTATTCTATTAAGATAAAGTTGCTCTTGTGAGGAAATTCGTTATGGAGCAAGCTTATTATAATTTTAAAATAAACTATTTACACTGTTTTCATAAAGCTTAAAACAAGCCGGATAATATTTTTTTTTTGAATTTTTACTTTTAATCAACTAAATTTAAAAACTGAGTACGACAAGCTAAAGCTAATCGTACAAACAGCAGGCACATAATTCTTATGTATTATTTTATTCTTTTTCTATGCTAGGTTCTTGCCTCTCTGCGTCTTTTAGGGTCTGGAGGATTTCAGAATTTAATTGCAGAGAGTGCATTTACTTTTATGTCACAGGCCAGTGTTTCAAGGATATTTGAGGACTTTATCACAGCCATGATGACACTAGTAGAGAGTTTCATAAAATTTCCCCAAGGTGCCAGAGAAACTTCTACAGCAAAGAGGAAATTCTTCGAAAAATGTGGCATTCCGAATATTATCGGTGTTATTGATGGGACGCACATTTACATTACTAAGCCCAATCAACCGGACTGGAATGTTTTCTTAAATCGAAATAATAAATTTTCGATGAATATCCAGATTGTAAGTACCTGACTTTTGATTGTTAATGTTAAATGATATATTGCAAAGGATATACTTCACATTGATACTTTTAGGTTAAGGAGAGAGTGAATGCAAGAATGATATTTGATTTACTTTTTCGTTTGAGTATGGTAAAGAATAAGTATGGAAGATAGTGTTCTTTTTGACCCTCCTCTAAGGCATTGCTTTTGGAAAATGAATTTCAGATAATTGAATAAAAAAACTGAAAATTTTCAATAGTGAACAGTTGCATTTCAATCAATAAGCAGGGGTCTGTTTAGAAGAAATTTACGGATCCATCACAAAATATCTTTTCATAAAAACGTACCCTTCACAAAAAGATTTTTCTTTTAATCGAACCCTTCACAAAATGATTTTTCTTTTAATCGGACCCCTCACAAATTTGTTTATTTTCATTATTGTTTTATTAACTGAATAAACCATTCCCAGGGCAGAAAACAAGCTGGATGTAAATGAATTAAGTTTCGTCTCCAGCAGACACTTCTTCCATTATTCGCCCGAAATGAATGTTCTGCGTTCAGCAGTATACGCTAAATACCAAATATTTGTATGTTGCATCTCTAATTTAGAAGCAGCAATTGCTGTTTATTTTTGAAAATTTAAATTTTCTTATTATAATTTTAGAGTGCTGAGCATAATCTTGTATCTATTTACAATTTAAAAACTCCTTGAAAAAGTTTTTTGCAATAACCGGACCCTATTTGCAGAAATTCATAAAAGCAGGACCCTGTTTGAAAGCATGTAAGAAATTTTTTCACAAAAACCGGACCTTTCATAAAATGTCTGGACAGACCCCTGATAAGTATAAGTATGTGAAATCAGAGATATGTCTTTTGAAAAACATATTAAATTTTGTAAAGTTAACATTTATTTTTGTATTACATTGTGTAACACATGATTGACTTAAACTGTGTCCATAATAACTTGGAATATAACTTTTGGGTTATAAGAAATGTTTTACAAACTCAACAGATTTCAAATAAGTTAATTATGATAATACTGCAACACTAAAAGGCATGTTAACGCCTCTTTTAGTATCTCACTATAAAATCCTTAATCAATCGCATGGCAAAATTGTAATAAATTATTTATTTCTTCGTTGAATAAATGCCTTAGTATACAGAACAAATTGCACCAGGTTATTTTAATAATAATGTACTCAAGATAATGAGATATTTTGTGGTGGAATTAAAATTTGTACCCAAGAATAAAAAGTTATTAAATGGCTTTTCGTAACATGGAACATTTTGTTATTTAGTGTAAAATAAGAATTTTCATATTCTTTTACAAATTTCCTTTCATATCTACTTTACTGTTGTTTAAAATATATAATTTAATTTGAATAAATCTGTTTCATATTTTTGCATTTCTTCTTATAATTCTTTTGGGATGATTGATGGAGCTAGTCTATTGTGAAAAGGAGATTGTTTGGTGGAATGCCTAATCATTTCAAAAACTAATGAAATATTTGAGCAGCTTTAATTTATTTTAAATTTCATTTTAATGTATCATTTGGGTTAATTCTAACAATATTTAAATACCTGAGAGATTATTTTCGATAACCTGAAATAAATATTGTTTTTTCTACAAAATTATCAACACACTATAATGTATTCAAAAAACATTATCTTTTTTTAAAGCACTGAATTCATATTTTAGGTTTGCAGTGACGAGATGAGGCTTCTAAATGTCGTTGCCAATTGGCCTGGTGGCACTCACGATTCTTTCATATGGAGATATTCCGCCATTCGAGAGATCCTGCAAAAGGAAAACGGGGAGAATTTTCTTTTGGGGGATAGTGGCTATCCACTAGAGCCTTGGTGCATTACACCATATTCCAACCCTAGGAGTCACTACCAAGAGAGATATAATGATGTGCACCGGAGAACCAGATCCGTAGTGGAACGGACTATCGGGTGTTTAAAAAGAAGGTTTAGACTCCTTGATCTTAGTGGTGGCATCCTACAATACACACCACAAAAAGTCTGCAAGATAGTGATGGCAGCAAGCGTTTTGCATAATATTTGTTTAGATTACAGTGTTCCTCTACCAGATGAGCCATATAATCTGGAAATTCCTGATCCCTTGATCGATCCACCCAACTCCAGGATACTTTTGGAAAGTGGAAGAAATTCGCGAAAGAATCGCTCTAATTTTGTGAAATTCAATTATTTTCATGCTTTAGATTTGAATAAATATATTTGTAGAAACGTATTACTTTTAGTCTTGTATTACTAGTGCACACTTTTAATTTTTAAATGTAGTCTTATCCATGTTTAGGGACTTACACTTTTTTTTAACTATACATGAAGAAAAAAAATTTGAAATCTTAATTTTTGCAGTTAATTTTGATATACAAAGCAGATGTGGAATAAGAATCAATAAGAAAATAAAATTGTATTATTAGATACATATATCTTAAGTATATGCTTGATTTCTGATTGTTTACATCTACCTTAAAATTAGTCATTATTAAAAATATTTCTTTAAATGAACTTTTATTAGATATTTTAAAATGTTTCATTTTATCAATCTTTAAAAGATAGAATTAAACTATAAGTGTGCTAAGTCTTTTTAAGAAATAATATAATAGTATTATTGTATATTATAAATAATCATAATTTTTGCAACCCTTAATTATAAAATCAATTTTATGAAGTTCCCTGCCAAAAATTATTGGCCAGAACAAGATAGGCAATATCAATTTTTCAAGTTTTTCACAAAAGAGCTGTCAATTCTGAAGCATACTGAGGATATTCCGCGATGAGTTTTGTTGATATTTCAGTAAAACTGACTCTTCTCAGGATTCGATTCTTATAATATGAGGACTTTATGTTCCAAACGTTTTCCTTCTTTCTGATGAGTTCAATGAATAAGCTCTCCATTTCAACTGTCCATTTGAAAGAGTCTGGGAGGCTCATGTTGACTGC